AAAAAAAAAAAAAAAAAAAGAATCCAGCAGGAAAGGTAAATATTCCCAAGTGAAGCTCAGCCCCATGGGCTCCTGGGCCCAGCCATGTTTATTGCACCAGAAGAACCCGCCTTGACCACAGCAACCACTCGGAACCTGGCTGTTACCCTCGAAGGCTGCAAGTGCACACTCGGGGCAGGGGCGCTGGCACCCACACCAAACATGGTTCTATCTGTGACCTACATTAAAACACATCGTGACTGCAGCCCTTGCCAGTCAGGAGCGTGGCCAGCCCAGGGGATTCAATTAAAATGCTAAATTAATTCAATTGAATAACTCCTCTTAATGACACATTCTTCTAAAAGGAAATTACAGGAAATTTAAGATGTTCTTTTTTTTTTTTTTTTTTTTTGACTGATTGGTGATGAGTACATTGTTCAGAGCTCTGCAAAAAAAAATATATAAATGAGTGAGGACATTTGCATACAATAGGCGGGTGGGAGGCGCCTCACCTGCCACCAGCTCCAGCTTCTCACCGGGGTCCCCCTCTGAGTAGAGCTTGGGGTGGCAGCGGTATCCAATCTGGCTGATGAGGCTGGCAGGCAGGGCCACGAGGTCGCGGCGGATGAGGACGCAGGAGCGGCTCTCCAGGGGCACTGGCTCAGGCTTCTCTTGCACTGTGGGCCCAGAACCAGCCTGGTCAGGTGGGCACCAGGGGCCAGACTGCTCTGTGCCTGCCCACCTGTCCTCCATGCTCCCCAGGCCCTGGGTTAGACCCACTCTGCCCACCTGGGCCCAGGTGAGGCCATACTGTGCTACTCTCCTGCTGGCCTGGGGTCAGACTGGCATCAGCCTGCCCCCTCCCCACTTGGTGCCCTCCTGCCCACTTGGTTCTGCCCTCACAGGGAAGCCCCTGTGAATGAGTGAGCAGAAGATGTGAGAGGAGGGTTGTCCGGCCAGGCCCAGGGAATGAGCTGCTTTGGGCTGGCTCCCGGGAGGTGTATGCAGAGCCTGCCAGCCGTGCAGGAGTGACAGCTCAGCACTGGGGCCCCCAAAGGACAGTACAGTGTGAGACAGGATGGAGGATGGTCTGGGGGCCAGCAGGGCGGCCACCGGTGGGGCCACAAAAACCACCTGGTGGAGGTGAGGTGGGGAGCTGGACGGGGGTGGCAGGTGCTGTGGCTCCCAACTCTTCTCCCAGCAGCTCCCAGCAACGGGCAGTGGGGCACGGCCACCCGACCCGACCCACAGGCAAGGACATGAGGACTCAGTGTGTCCAAGAACTCAGCCCCGGGACAGTACCGGCCCCAGGAGGAGCAGCTCCCTAAACACTCGCCAACAGCCGGGCCGTCAGCCGCGCCACTACCACCAGGGGCAGCCTCCCCGCGCCCCCCCCCGCCACACCGTCCCCTCACCATCTGGGAATGTTCCTGAAAAACCACAGCTAGGGCAGATGACCGCCAGGGACCCTGCACCCACAAGACCTGCAGACAGACGCACAGGGCACCCCCATGGGGGGCAGACAGCAGCCAGGAACCCTCATCCGACGACCACCTGCTGGACACCCAGCACGTACCAGGTGCATGGAGCCAAGGAAACAAAGCCCTGCTCCCAAATCCTGCCTGCCAATACCTGGGCCCCCACACTCCCACAGCCCCCCCACTTCCCTGTTGCCTGCCATGACTCCACCGCCTTGCAGGCCCCACCCTCACACAGGGTCCTCACAGCCTGGCAGGGCCCCAGGGTCAAGATCGCCCCCCGTGAGTGGGCCCCCAGCACTCACGTGCCACCATGGACATTGGTTCGGCACGCCTCACACCCCAGCCTGACAGGCTGCCCAAACGGCCACCCTGCCCAGGTGAGGGCAGAGCACCGCCTCCCTCATTCCCGTGTCCCAGCACAAAAGGCAAGGCCCCAAGAGGACCACCCATCTGGTCTGCTGCCTTCACTAGGGAATCCCCCTGCCCCAGGCTGGGCCCCCTGCCCACCCTGCCGAGCTGCAAGGCCTGCAGGGAAGGCCCCACAGTCCAGCCTCCACCTGCCCGATCGCACGAGGGCGGCCTGCTGGTGGGAAAGGCCCTCGGGGCCATCCAGGGCTGGGCTTTGCTTGCCATGGGCAGGACACAGTTCCCTCGGGAGGCTCAGTGCGATGGGAAGTCCTGGGGTGGGGGGCAGCTTGCAGGATCTGCTGGTCCTAGATGTGCAGAGTGAGGGGCGGGGTGGAACCTGTGCATCCAGCAGGCTCAGGGCAGGCAGCTCCATGCAGATCCTGCCCACGGCCGTGTCAGAATGCTCAGAGGCAGGTGCTCCTGACCATGCTGTCCCTGTTCCCCATCCCTCCAAACCATGACCCCCACCATGGAGAGTCACAGAAAAACTCCGAAGGGGTGGCTTAGCCTTGGGGCATGGGGGCTGCCAAGGGGACCGCTGTGGAGCAGCTTCAGGAGGGCGGGAGGCAGGGAGGGTCCCGGAGTCACCAGGAGTCACTTTTGCACCGAGCCCCTGTCAGGGAGGGGCAGAGCCACCGGGCCCGGGGGGCCAACATATAGGTTACTGAGGAACCCACATCCCGAATCCACAGCAAGAGTACCACTGAAGGCCATGTGGGTTCCACTCCTGAGAACCACGTGGGGTCTGAAATCACCCACCCGAGTCGCCCGGATACTCCCTCCCCAGGTACCCACTCACCCAGGACGAGCGTGAGCGTGGTGCACGCTGCGCCTGTCAGTCCCTCCAGGGAGGAGGGGGAGCTTCCCAAGGCCCACAGACACCCAAGCAGAGGCCAGAAAGGGTCCCTGGAAGCTGGGTGCACAGCCCCTGCCTGGCCGCTACAGGGGTCGGGTGGCATTTCCCGGCGGGCTGAGCACCACAGAAAAAGCCCAGAATTACCCGAGCGCTCAGGGAACACAGCAAAACAATCTGGGTGATATTTTAAAACATAATTACGCACCCCCACCCCCGGCAGCCTGCTGTGATTACACACGCAGAGGAGCAGCGCAGTGCGCGGCATTTACATAAAGAGTTCACCAACAGAAATAATTCCCCATCCACAACCACCTCGTCTCGAGATGTTTTTCCAAACAGCAGAAGTTGTTTGCGCTCGGCACGCCCGCCCCCCCGCCCAGCCCCTGCCGCACTCCCCAAGAGCCAGAGACTGTCAGCACCAGGGCGGCCAAAAACCCTTTTCTATTTCTGCCTTGCCGTGCACGGGCTGCCGTGGGGTACACACACCCGCGCCCATCGAGGCTCATCTGCAAAGGTGCCTCAGATGTCCCCCCCACAGCCGCCCCTCCCAGCCCCCAATTCGCCCTCCACAGGAGCTGAGCTTCAAGGTCCAAGTTACAACTGGATTTTGAAAGAAAATCCGGAGAGAGGCTTGTTCACGCAGAGATAAGATGACTCATCCCTGGTGGCCCCTGGATGGGCCATTCAGAGGCCCCATGAGTCGGGGCCAGTGCTGGCTTCCCAGGGTGGCAGGAGGCCCCTCAATGGGCATGTGAGCAGGGAAGAGGCCCCCATTGGTCACACCAAGGTCCGTCCTGAGCCTGGGTCTTGGGTATTGGGGGACCCCATGGCCTATCACCCCAGGATTGGCCACCATAGCAAAACTGCCGCCTTCATCCTCGAGAGCCCTGTGAAGAAACTCAGGTGCCAGGATGGTGCCCTCCAAACCTCTCGGCATGCCGACACCTGGGAACAGCTCATAAAGAGCAATGAGCCAACTGCATGGAGGTGAGCAACCCTCCCCAAGGGGAGGGAACACCAGGCTCACAACAGGAGGGCCCAGAGCAGCAACCGCCCAGGTAGCAGGGCCCAGCCACCGAAGGGTGTGAGGTGGGCAGCCTCCCTGAACACACAGGGCAAAGCAAACACAAGGACAAATGTTGCCTGGGACGTGGGGGTGGGGCCATCAGGGATCCAGAAGGAGCCCCAGCGTGCATTCTAGGCCCTTCTGCAGACACTAAGGGGACCTGGCAGAGGGCGGCTGAGCCTGGAGGACACCATGCTCAGGAAGCAGCCAGACACAGAGGGACACGTCCTGGGGCTCTACTCACAGGCAGCCCCTGGAGTCGTCAGGTCCAGAGGTGGGAAACAGAGGGTAGGTGCCCGGGCTGGGTGGGGGAACGGGAGGGATGGTTTCATGGGGATGGGAGGTTCATCTGGGGAAGATGGGAAGTTCTGGACCGATGACAGTGATGCTCATACAACAGTGGGACGTCCTCAGCACCACGGAACTGTGCATGTAAAAGCCACTGCAGTGGCCAACCTTCTGTGCACCTTACCACAGTCACAATGCTCAGAAAGAACGCACGAACGTCGGGAGGAGGGGTCATGCGGGTCCGGAGGGAAACCAGGTCTCGCTGGCCTCGCCCTGACCCTTTCTCAACTCCCCAGTCACTGACTGGGGTCTGAGGGCTCCACACCCTCCCCAGGCAGAACGCTCGAGAACCCTGCCCACAGGACAGCACCACATCCTGGGTGGCAAGCCCCGTTCCCGTCCTCAATTTGGAGTGTGTCATTGAGGACTCACCCAGGTGACACCCTCAGAGATCACACAGGCAGCCCCACCAAGGGAGTCCCTGCAGACATGGGTGGCGGCCAGTGAGTGGCAGGGTCACCTGGTGGAGCCCAGCAGAGCCTCGGCGGGGGGGTGGGGGGGGAGGGAGAGGGGAAGGCCCACTCCTAAAAGTATATACCATTTGTTAAAACGCAGAACAAGAAAAGGACCCCCCAGTCCTTGATGACATAGAAATGTACACCTTAAAACCAAACTGACAGAAAAAGTGCTAAATCACACGGATTTGAAGATCTCCTGTAAAGCTGTAGTCATTTAGCCTGCCCGGTTCAGGGAAATGGACAGACAGGTCAGCGGCACAGAACAGGAGGACCACACGCAGATGCACACGTCACAGACCCAAACTCAGATGCACATGCCACGGACCCAAACGCAGATGCACACGCCACAGACCCACACACAGACGCACATGCTACAGACCCACATGCAGACCCACACGCCACAGACGCACACACCAGATTCACACGCCACAGACCCACACGCAGACCCACACAGATGCACACGCTGCAGACCCACACGTCACAGATACACACACCAGACCCACATGCCACAGACCCACACACCACAGATTCACATACCACAGACCCACACGCAGACCCACACAGATGCATACGCTACAGACCCACATGCAGACCCACACGCCACAGATGCACACACCAGACCCACACGCCACAGACCCACACACCACAGATTCACACGCCACAGACCCACACACAAATGCACACGCCACAGACCCACACACAGACGCACATGCCACAGACCCACACGCAGACCCACATGCCACAGACCCACATGCCACAGACGCACACACCAGACCCACATGCCACAGACCCACACCACAGATTCACACGCCACAGACCCACACACAAATGCACACGCCATAGACCCACACACAGACGCACATGCCACAGACCCACACGCAGACCCACATGCCACAGACCCACACACAGATGCACACGCCACAGACCCACACATAGACCCACACACAGACGCACACGCCACAGACCCACACACAGACCTCCACACAGACCCACACACCACAGACCCACACACAGACCCACACGGCCACGCTCCATCAGTTTTTGACAAAGGTGTACCAGC